GTGTGTGTATTTCAAAACAATGTCACTCATCAGTGAGAAAGAAGAAAATATTTCCATTGCAAAAAAACATGGGTAGCACTGAGGATGTTAGTATTATTGAAATAAACCAGGGAAGGAAATAAAAAAAACTTCACAGTAACAGTTATATCTAAAAAAAGTTGTCAAAAAAATTTTTCAGGGCCTTCCCGGTGGCACAGCAGGTTGAACGCCATGCTGTGAAGCTGTCCACAGCCTCTGCAGGGTGGGTTTGATTCCTGGCCCACCAGGGAGAAACCCACATGGCACCGCAGACCTCTCCTGACTCACCCGCTGCTCCCCTCAGCAGAGTATTTTTGGTCCATCTGCCTGTTCTGTTCCCCACTCTGTCTCTGGTGAATCCTCTCACCCTCCCATGTCTCTGACCTGTACCCCAGTTCTTGTATAAATAAATCTTTTTAAAAAAATCATACTTATAGAAAGTGGCTGAAGGGGCTGTGGGTGGGAGAAATAGAAGCTAGTAAAGGACACACTTCCAGCTATATGATGTAGCAGTCACTGCTCTGCTATTTCATATAGAGTTTTAGGAAAAGCCTGTCAGAGAAGGTAACTTTGAGGGGAAAAAAAAACAAAACAGGAAATGGAGTACTGAGATATGTGGACATCTGGGCAAAAGGTCTTCAAATACAGGCAAAAGGTTAGGTGAAAGATGCTGAGCTAAAAATGCTTTTGGTGAAAAGCAAAGAAACAAAAGAGCAAGGAGATGCTAGATGGATAGTGGATGGTCAAAAAATAAATGCACCGACTTATACTCTGTGTGAAACAGGAACCTATTTGAGGGCTTTGATCTGAGGAATAATCTAATCTGAAGTCTAAATTTTAACAGAATCCCTCTAGCTGCTGTGTGATGATGAGAAGCAGGAGAGAGAGAGAGAGAGAGAGAGAGAGAGAGAGAGAGAGAGAGAGAGAGAGAACGCACTCAATCTGGGTTCAATGAGGAGAAAGAACATAGTAATTTCACCAGTGGAAGTTTACTAGAACTGTTGCCTCTATATCAGTGCTAGGAAAAATACAATGAGCGAAAGATAAGGACTGAGAGATTGAACCTAAAGAAGGACAAACTTGTAAGCAGGTTCTCCTCTCAAATGAGAGTCGGATTTCATAGAAGGAGCGGTGGTCCCACTGGACGATTAAGTGCTTCACTGGGTTGTCAAGGACTGGACTGGTTTGCAGTCTGTAGGTAAGCAGGAAAAACTCTCTGGGGCACAAAAAAGCTGAGGCTGATGAGCAGATACTCAGTGATTCAGGGAGCAGCAGTGGATGTGAAGCCTAGAATGTACAGTGTCCACATTGGGGGGCAGCATGGACCGAAGGTGGTCAGTACATAGTACTTGTCTGGGAAGACCATCACCAGACCCCCTACACTCCCACACCACTCACAGAGCTGGAAGCAGACGTAAGTGAAAGTAAAAATATAGTAAGTAAGGAAAAAAGAGATGTTCTTTGATGTCTCTGCAGCTTAACATCATGCTCACAGTAAGAAGTGCCTAGATTCTAGATTGTCATACAGATTAGAAGCTAAAATACATTTTTCACCTTTTCAAGCAGTTCATAGGTGGAAATTGAAATAACTTCAGGAAAGAGCAGAGGTTGACTTGGTCCACGATAGTAACAGTGCCAGTTACCTGACATAAGTTGGTTTATATAAATATTCTGAAAGGAGCACCAGTAGTTTTGCTGGTGTAGGATGCAATAGAAGAAAGAAAAAAGTATTTTTGATCTGATCAATTGGTATGTTTAGTTTCTAGTATAGGGATGATTATGAAAGAAACAGGTTTGGAAGGACATGTTGGATGAGAGACCCTTAAAAAACACAGATCAAGATGTTAAATTGGGGGCCTCCCCGGTGGCGCAGCGGTTGAGCGCTGGGTTTCGAAGTTGCCCGCAGCATCTGCAGCGCCGGTTCGATGCCTGGCTGCTCCCCGGCCACCAGAAGAGGGTCCCACATGGCGCGCAGACCTCTCCTGCCGCCCGCTGCTCCCCTCAGCAGTGTACTTCGGTCCTTCTGCCTGCTCTGCTCCCCGCTCTGGTTCTGGTGAATTCTCTCACCCTCCCGTGCTTCTGACTGTACCCAGTGCTTGTGTGGATGAAGAAATAAATGGATAAATAAAAAAAAATAAATGAATAAATAAAAATAAAATCTAAAAAAAAAAAAAAGATGTTAAATTGGTAGATCAGGAGACAGATTTGAATGGATATGAAATTATATACATTAGAAATTAAGATATTTAAAGTCAAATGATAGAATGACTGAATAAAAGATCATGTAAGAGTAAAGAAGAGAATAGACATCAGGACTAAATCTGGAAAGAGTCAAATTTTAGAATACAAGGAGATGAGTTGTTGAAACACTTCAGAGAAATATTTTCAGGATTGCATAGCTGCACTAAGGATGAACTGTATTAAAGTTAAATGGATTGAACGGTCGTCATGGTACAGTGTTCCTATTGCTACATCCCACTGTTCTGCTGTAGTTACAAAGTGGTCTTTGATATCAATGTAATATTAATCAGATGAAATATTGTTTGCATATTAATTGATGTCAGACTGTAAATTATAATCATGATTACAGCAGAGGGAATAATACTGGCTAATGCATCTTTCTTCTTTGGCATTACTGTTTGTTTCCACTCATCTGCTTAAGGAAAAGGCTTAGGTTTATTTTTCCTCCAGTATTATCTGTTACAAAGATTTATGGGATATCCTTTCATCTAAGATATAATTAAGATTGAAAATATCAAACGCATTGGCAAATATATTTGTAGAAGTGAACATATACATAAATGAGATCAATTATGCTTTATCAACAGAAGGGGAGAGATTTGGGAACATTGCTAGAACTTTTGGATATTCTATTTGAAATAGTACTGATGTTCTCCATTTGCTATACCCACCTCTCACTTCCTCCCACAACTGATGTATCATCTAACCTTCTCTTTGCTGTACTCAGGAAATTATCTTCCGGAGAATACATCAGTTGATTCCTTTATTATTATTGGTATAATAAAAATTTAAATTAATATGTTCAGAGACACTATTTTTAAATACTTAAAAACTTTGGGTTAAGATACTTGAGTGCTAGCTAAGCAGCTAGTTGATGTGGTATTTTAAATCAACAAATTAGAACCAGGTATGAACATTTAGTAAGTACAGTGGGCCATGAGAGTATTTTTAAATAGGTTGGATTCTAATAGAATAGGGTGTCATTTTTTTGGAAATTAGCAACAGAAAATATAAAGGTTGACATGCATTTTGCAAATATTAAAATATAATGCAAATTAAAGCATAATATGTATTATAATAAAGAATTAAAATTGTATCAGAAAATACTTGGCAATTATTAATAATAAGGTTAATATGGACAGCATGGAAAAGGTGAAATTACATTACTCTAAAAATTTTAGACAATTAAAAAAGAAAGGTTGAGTTTTGAGATATAGACTATGCAAATTATGTATTATTTACTGGATAATGAGGATTCTAAATTAATTGAAGCTTGAGAATGAAGGACTATTGGGACAAGAATTAATTAAGCCAGACAGAGAGAGGTACAATTAGAGTTAGGAAAATGAGTTTGGAATTAGATCTTAAAGAACCATATAGAGAAATTGTATTTTTTGTTATTTTTAGCATAGGCAAGAAAACAGAAATAATAGAAAATAAAGTAGGGAAATATAACTGGAAAGCTGTTGAAATAAACACTTATCTATTAGAACATGGTCCCTGATACAAATTATTGGAAATGGGCCTGAGGAAAAGTTTAGAGGCAAAGGACAACAGATTGATCTATCACTGATTGTCAAGCATAGGACATGAGAAAAAATAATAAAAGATTTTTCTAAATTTCTAGTTGACATCATTGAAGAAAAATGATCATATGCCTTCCCTAATATACTTACAACTCTTATGCTATTTTCACAATCTATGTAATTATGTCTGGTTTTCTTTCCTGTTTTAAGTTCTCTTCCACTCTAAGTCAGCAAACCATGAAAAAAAAAAAAAATACACTGTCCTTTGATCACTGCTGTATTACCAGTACTTCACCTAGCTCCGGCACAGAAATTGACAAATATGTGCTCGTTAGATAAATAAGTGAATAGACTAGAGCTTGTAGTTCTGAAATTTGTGACTAAACTTAAAAAATTGACATTTGAATATAAAATATAAGGTATTGTTGGATCATTTATATAGAGATGATGTATATCTTTCTCTATCTTTAGTCATTATATATTTGGCAAAGTATTTAGTATTTACCAGTGCTTTTCTATACACTGAAGGAACAATAGTCAAAACTCAAAACTCTGTATTTGTATCTAATGGTTCCACATTCTAAATTATTTATGTTCCCTTTTATAATTTTCCTTTTTGTAGTCTTTTATTTCCCGTATCATACAAAATAATTTAAACTTATTCCAAATTAAAAAATACATATTTTCTCTTGGCCCCATTGTTGTTTCTAGCTCTTCCATTTCTCCATGTGCGTTTGTGGAATGCACAAAAGCGTTTTTCTGTACATTTTCTTTAAGGTTATCTATTGCTGTGTAACAAACCATAACACGACTTAGTGACATGAAATAACTGTTTTTTATCAAAAGTCTGTGGGCAGCTCAACGTTTGGCTGATGTTGATTGGGCTCAGTCCTGCTTCTCCAGCAAGCTGATAAATCCTCTGTATTCTCTAGAAAGACTTCATCTGCGCAAGGTACTTGAATAACAAAAGTGTACCAGGCCTCTTGATATCTAGTCTCAGAATTGGCACAATGTCACTTTTGTCACGTTCTACTGTTCAAAGCCCACCTTTGGAAACCTTTCCATTTTTATGGAAAGTCAGCAGAACTACATTTTGAGGAAGTATGAATTCAGGGAAGAGAATATGAAGCATTTTTCAAAGAATATACCCTATCCTTTCATAATGGAGACAACAGACTCTACACTACACAACATATTAAGGAATAGGCTTTATTAGGGAAAGGATAAACTTAACAAGACAAAATTAAGCAAAAGCAGGTAAGGAAACTTCCCATCATGTGCCTGTCATTCCACAGAGTCATTTTGGGTCCTGGTCCAATCATATTGTCATGCAGGATGGACTGTATTTCAGTAGAAATGTGTTGCCTTCTGCTGTTTTATATTTTGACAGGGGAACCTTTTCAAAGTTAATGTGCCAGTGGGGAAGTAAGTAGATTATTTTGGTGACTTTGGATTCAAATCTCAGTTGTTTGTGTAATTCTACTTGAGGTCCTCAGGAGGGTAATTTTCTCCTGTTTGGAGGGAAAATAAACAACTGTCATTCTTTTGGTGTACCAGGTAACCCTGAAAAATGAGCACAGAGTACCATCTTGGGAAATTTTATCCCTTGTAGCCCAGTTCTTCCATTTTTCTTGGCTTGTTTATGCCTAATATGGTCACATAATCAATGACTTTCCCACTACTAAATCTTATAGTTTATTCTCAGTCTTTAACTTATTTGGACTATGGGCATCATTTGACATACAATCATTCATTTATCCATTAAAAACTATGGGCAGATTTCAAGTCACTGCTTTTTCCTGGTTTCCTCCTTATAAACTGGTTGCACTTTTCTAATCATATTTTTAGTTCAAATTTGCAAAACAATGGAGAGACATGGAATCACTCATCCAGACCGTGGATGCTCTGCTTGCTCTCTATCCTCATTCTCTTAATGAGAGATTTCAGATTCACCAAATTTCAAAAGTAAATGCCCTCTACATTCTACCATCATGCACATTTAATCTCTAGGCCAGATTTTTCATCCAGGTTTAAATATTAAACTGTTTTTTGACATATTTAGTTGGATATAAATTAGGCATCTCATACTTCAAAGCACCAAAACAAAACTCCAGATGTTTCTCCAAATGTGTTTTCACTCCCATCTTAGAAATTGGCACTACACTTAAAAAGCTGGATTCTCACACCACAAACTCAAAACATTAACTAATTCAATTTGTTTAACCTTAAAAATTATATTGAATCATTTACATGCTGGACCAGATCAACCACCTCTTTTGCCTGAGTTATTATTATCAACTTTTACCTCCTCTCCGTGATCTTGTCTTTGTCTCTCTGCATTCTATTTTACACTCAACAGGAAGATATTCATATCATACCACTTGCTCTTCTGCTCAAAATGACATCCTACTTTCTCATCACTCAGGAAAAAAAAAATCAACAGTCTTACATTCCTATCTATCCCACACACTTCAAGCTTTGTAATTTCCTCAGCAACCAGTACAAACCAGAATTAGTTCCAAGAACCCATCTTCTTACCTTGCTTTATTTTTTCAAAGCTCTTCTCTCCATTGTACCACATTATGTCTTTTTCATTTGTGTTTTTGTGTCCTTTATTGGCTCTAAGATAATTGTGGATGGAGATTTTAGACTGTTAAGTCTACTGTAAAATCCCAGTGTCTGACGTAGAATAGATGTGCAATAGATTTTTTTTCAAGAAAGTAATGCCAAAACACAACTCAAGAGCTCATTTGAAAAGCATGCTACACTACTGTCCAAGCATCAAGTCTTCCTTTATCCTCAGACATTCATGAATTTGCTTATTTTGGTGTCATACACTCCTCTAGTTTGCGACACAATTACATTGATTTGTCTTGCCATAGTTTTTTTTTTTTCTTTTTTCTTCTAATCATTAAATAGCTCTACCCACTTATGTTGCCTTTATCTTAAATGTGTATATATAATTGAAATCTTTCATTTCAAGGAGCAATCATACTTTTTTTAATGTTAGTACCATCAACATTCTCAAATTTTTAAATATTTTCAACTTCATCTCATTGTATTATTTATGACTTTTCTCCCATATTATACTGAAAATTGTATAAAGGCTGTGCATATCAAGCTCCTTTTGGCATCCTTCAGAATTCTTAACATTGACTTACAAAAGAAGACTACTAATAAATATTTATGGGATACACATTATTATAAATTATGGATATCTACCATAGATAGCATAACTGGTTATATATAATGCACCACTACAGAAATTAAAGTAACAAACTAATATATTGCAATGAATATATAAATACATAATTGAGAAGACACAAAAGTCTCAAATTTCTGGTTCAGTGAAGTCACATTAGCCTCTCCAATATCCTTTTTTAATTCTATATTACTATGAAATCTAGCCATAAATTCTCAACTGTCTCTCATATATTTTGACAGTACCATTAGGAGGATTGCTTTAACTAAGGCTAGGATATCTTAAGAAGCATGCAACTGATAGTGGCAAAACAGCACCCTCTTTCAACCTTAAAGAAGTCTGATCAAGAATAACATAGCTGAAGGGAGAAACAAATTTTCCTTCAATATCCAGAATAGAGCTATTATAGACTCCTGTCCCTGGTGTTCTTTTTAATGGACAGATCTCAAAGCATGTGCTAGACTTTCTTCTCCAGATGCTCATTTGAAAAAGTATGCCAACATTTAACTCCCTTGTTGATACCAAATGTATATTTTTTGAAATAGTGAAAGCTCTTCTGATTGGTACCATGGCCCAATATTTTTAATTATTTTTAAGTATTTTGCAATATTTACTTATCCCTGCCAGTATTGAACTTAGGCTGAAGGGGTGATTGCACTAAGACTTAACCCCGAAGCCACCAGGAGGTCTCCCAATGAATATATTTTAACCCAGTAATGTATAGTTATCTACATCCTATTTTAGGAGTAAAATGAACTAGAGTGGAGGGAAATTTGAGTTTCTACTTATATGCATTAACAATAGAACTGGTATTCTTTTTATTGTATATTTTAAGGTACCATTGAATTGCAACACTGCCTATGACCCAGAGGTATAGGTTCACCACTTTAAGATGTTATTATTCTACCACACCACCAAGGTACCCATAATCTTCCACCATAGTCCCTTGGGCCTCCTCCTGTCTTTGTTTGCACCCCAACTTTCCCCCTCCGGTAGAATCAATTTATAGTCAGATTTCTAGGATTGATTTTGGTTTAGTTTTGTCTGTTTCTTTATTTTGATTCTCTGTATTCCACATATGAGTGAAACTCTTCTGTCTTTGTCTTGCTCATTCTGACATTCCACTTACTATAATTTCCTCTATATGCATCCTTGCTGTAACAAATGGCAGGATTTAATCTATTTTTTTGATCTGTTCATATTCCATTGTGTATATAACCACATATTTTTAATATGCTCACATATTTCTAGGCACTTAGTTTATTCCCATAACTTAGCTATTATAGATAGAACTACAGTGAACATAGGAGTGCATTCTTCAGGTAGATAGCTGGAAGCAGAGTTGCTGGATCATATGATAGAGCTGTTCAATATTTTGAGAAACTTCCATATTGTTTTCCAAAGGGGAGTTACCAGTCTACGTTCTCACCAATAGTGGAGGCAGCGACACTAATTGTTTCTGGTCTTTTTCATAGGGGCCATTCTTACAGGTGTGAAATATTTCATTGTGGTTTTAGTTTGCATTTCCCTGATAAATGATGGTGCGCATTTTTTCACATGCCTATTGGCCATCTGTATAATTACTACCAATTTTAATTGGGTTATTTGTTTTCTTTTTGTTGAGTTATAAGAGTTCTTTGTAGATATTGGATATGAGCCCCCTTGTGGGATGTATAATGTATAAATATTTAGTGGAGTGTTTTTTTCATTTTACTGATGGTTTCTTTCACCATACACAAGATTTTTAGTTTAAGATAGCTCCAATAATTTTTTCTTCTGTTTCCCTTGCCCTTAGACTAGAACCTTCAAAGACATCCCGGAAGCCAGTGCCATGGCATGTTTAGCCTATGTTTCTTCTATTTATTTTATGATTTCAGGTCTTACATACCATGTTCGATCCATTTTGAGTATATAATGTGAGATTGTGGTCTAGTTGCTTTCTTATGTGTGTGGTTGTGCAGTTTTCCCAAAACTGCTTAAGAGTATTTCCATTCTTCAATGTATATTTTTGGTCCTGTTGTAATAGATTAGCTGTGCATAGACATGTGGAGTTTGTCTGTACTTTCAATTCTATCATCAGTGTGTCTATTTTTATGCCAGTATCATGCTGCTTTAATTGTAATCACTTTGAAGTTTAGTTTGATTTGGGATTATGATTTTCCATCCTTTTTTCATCAGGATTGCTTTGGATATTTGGGGTCTACATCCAAATATGTAGATTCCATATTTTGTGATTCCATACAAATTTCGCTAATGCTTGTTCTACTTCTTTGAAGAATTCCACTGAAAGTTTGTTAGGGATTGCATTGAATCTGTATATTACTTTGTATAAAATGGCCATTTTTATAATGTTAATTCCTTCAATCCATGAGCAGGGTATATATTTGCATTTCTTGTACTTCTTTCAACAGTGTCTCACATTTTCATTGAACAAGTGTTTCACTTCCTTTGTTAGGTTTATTCTTCAGCATTCAATATTTTTTGATGTGATTATAAATGGGGTCCTTAATTTTTATCTTTTCTATTGTTATTTGCATATAGGGATGCAACAGATGTTTATATATTGATTTTGTGGTCTGCCACTTTACTGATTTATTGTTTCTCAGAATTTTTTTATTGGAGTTATTAGGGTATTCTATGTGTATTCAGTTTTCATTTTCAGTTTACTGAATTTAAGCCATATTTTACATGCATTTAATTTGTTGCTTATTATGAATCTAAGAAATAACTATTCCTCTTATTATTCTTATTTTTCCTAAAGTCACATGTCTGCAAATGATCCAATTTGTTGCAGACAGTTTCTACAATTTTTGTTCTTTACTGCTATCGCATGTATTAGAAGAAGTAGTTGGAATAGCACAGTCAATTATGTCTTCTGTCAACAAATATTTTAAAATTATTCAAGGTATTTCAATTAGTATGCCAGATCTGCATGTAAAATGTTATTGACATCTGAAAGTTTGTAGTCTATTAAATAAGATATGTGATTCTTCTTTATTTATTATTGCTTTCCCCTGACACATTTAAATATTTGAAAACAATTTGTTCTCCTGAGTAGTTTACTATTCCTTTCCCCAATCTACAAATTTGATTACCCTGTGGATTTACTTGGCAAGTTCTGTTTTTTCACAGATGGCATAGCTGCTTTTAAATTATCACAAATTCTTATTTGAGTAGTTCAAATAAATGAGGTATTGTTTTAATGTGTGCAGTTGGACTTTGAGCTTAGAAGAAAATGTATGCGTAAATGTATGTCACTAAGTAAATTAATATGATCTCATGTTCAATGTTAAGTTACATATTGAATAT